GATCAAAATTATTTCTGATAGGTCTTTTTCTAGAGGTTTTCTATTTCTAACTCTTACATTTAGGTCTATGAACAATTTTGAGTTAATTATGCTGTGAGGTAAGGGTCAAGTTTCATTTCTTTGCATATGAATGTGCAATTGATCCAGCACCATTTGCGAAGGCTCTCTTTTCCCCTTTGTTGAAAATCAATTGACCGTGTACATGTAAGCCAAGTTCTCTACCAAGGCCCTTCGGTGGAGGTGTCTGTCTGTATGCCAGTAGTTCATCTCTTTATGGTGAGTATTGACATCAGCTGGTGTGATATTTCGAGCTGGTTCTTTTTTTTTCTTTTTTTTTTAAGTGATTTTGGCTATTCCGGGCCCTTTTCATCCCCATATAAATTTTAGAATCAGCTTGTCAGTTTCTGCAAAAAAGACCGCTGGAGTTTTGGTTGTTATTGCGTTGAATCTATATATTATTTTGGGGAGAACCGATGACTCTTACAGTGTTGACTCTTCCAGTCCATGATCGTGGATCTTCTACAGTTTTAGGTGTTCTTCCGTTTCCCTCAGCAGTGTTTTATAGTTTTATATTTTTTCGATATACAAATCCTGCATCCTGTTTTGTATATTTATGCCTATCTGTGTTCTGTCTCTCCTTGGAGTTTTACGTCCTTTGGGGCTCAGTTTCTCTGGCTCTCTGGTAAGATGCCGTGGGAGCTAAAGAAGACAGTAGTGAGAGTGACAGATGCTATGTGGCTGTGACAAATGTGTCTTGAGAGAGACCAGTGCATTCACTGATAAATAACCCTTGATATCTAAGAACAAAACCAATGAAGAGGAGGGGCCACAGGGACAATGCAGGAAGAGGAAGACTTGACCTTGAGCTAGGGAAGGCAGCGAATGCAGGCGACGTTAAAGAGAAGTAGCTCACCAGGTGACAGGATCAAGTGAAGTGAAGACTTGTTCAGGCGCTTTCCCCTCCCTTCTCAGCGTCACTAGCCTTATTTTCTCTGAACCACCTGAAGTCGTCTTCTCTAATGAAGTCACCTTTTAAATCATTTTTTCTCTTTTCGGACAATATTAACATAGAACAAAGCCCACATGTGCACAGGGAGACAGCTCATCTTAGTGTCCGTAGTATATCAGGCACATGTATGAGTTGTGCATATGCTAATTTACTCGGCAATAAACCTGTACGGTTGATGGTGTTATTCCCATCAAATGTAAAACTTTTACCAATGTAAGAACTAAGGCTCCGAGAGGGTAAGTGTTTTTGCCCAGCCTACGCAGTATGTTCCAAGTTAGACATTTCAACCCTGGTCCACCTTTCTTGTCCTAAGCATCTCGGTCTAACAAGAGAGAGGTATGTGAATAAGTAAGTTACAAAGCTTTTCAATAAGTTACACAGCCATTAAAAATGAGCAGTAGCTCTATATATTATCACCGAAGGATGTTCACCCTGTATTAATGAGTGAAACACATTACAAAACGATGGTATGATCCCACACATTCATTCACTGATTCAGCACATGTAAAATGAGTGCCTACTCGGTGCTAGGCACTGTGCTAGACCCTTTGGGATACTTGGTGAATAAAAGAGTTGTTCTTTTAATGGAGCTCACTACCTATTAACATAGAATAAAATGTCAAAGTGGAGATGGAATTATAAGAGGCAACTTGGGTTGCACAAGGACGAGTCGGAAGCCACAGTGATAGGTCGGTTCAGCCCCAACAAGTGTATCGCTGTCAGGGGATAGTTCTCCGTGGCTCCTGCATTTCTGCCATCTTAGGAGCAGAGGCACTGGCGGCTTTGTTCTGGACTATCTTTTCAAGAATCTCTAGGTAGTGAACAGGCTTGGAAGATAAAATAGCTCCCTCAGGGGCAGAGTGAAGATTTATTTATTGTCCAGTATAATAAAGATGTCTCCCTCTGGGACAAAGGTCCGTCGGTTTGCTTGATGAGCGGTTTGGGTTCCTGCAGTTCAGGCTTCACCAGCTGAGGTTCAGACTCACTGCTTGGTCGGAATTGCGCCCCGGCCGCTCCGCGTTGCCCCGAGCGGGACCAGGAACCCGCGTGGGCCGGAAGCCCGTGCCGCTCCCTGTGCCACGGGCAGTAAAATCCTTTGCTTCTCTGATGGGGACCTCGTATCTTCTGCCAGCACCCATGAAATGGCAGCTTGCAAATATAGTGCTTGATAACAGAAGTGAGTTTATTTTTACTTTGATTTCAAGGGGGTCCTTTTTTTTTTTTTACATAAGGTTCTTATTTTATGGTGGCTTTTAGCTCCCATTTCTTGGTAGTACATTTAGTTACTAAGAGGATAAAGTAGGTTGATGCTAGTTTGTTCTAGAAGCACATTTTATGGGGTGTGTGCACAATATAGCTGTTTTGAGTCCAAAATCACACTCAGAAACGTCATTCAGCACCTTATGTGTCTTGCATCTTTTATGTGCAAATTTCATACATGAGTTCTTGCCAGAAGTACTCATGTTGTCATCGATTCTGTCATGTGTCACCACTGTTTTCTGTAGACAGAAATGGCTAGAGCTGTGTTTTCAAACCCAGATTTTAAAAGTTTGGGGAAAAAAGTTTCTAGTACTTTTTTTTCACATTTTAACAAATTTAAATTGTTGTCATGTTGTTCATTTGAACTCTTTATTTCTTAAGACTTAATTTATAACAGTGGAATGATCAAGCCTGCCATTGGCCAAAAGGAAAAGATTTAAAAAATTTTTCTATTTACTATTAACATCTTTTTAAAAATGAAAATCAGATTTGAAAAGTTCAAGAACAAATTAGATGAAAACACTAATTGTTTTATTCCAATAAGTTTAGGAACCATTGAGCATTCCCCCCATGTAAAAATAAAATTATTTTTTTTAACCCATATGTTCATCCTCTTCCTAGCCATTATAAGCAAGGAGAAAGAAAACAATTTGGCTTCAAGAAGATCCTGATCTTTACATTAAATGGCAAGAAAACAGAGAGATCTGCCTCTGGAGACCATAGTCAAATTTAATTTTATTTGGGATCTTGTCACCCTGATTGCTTAGCTAATTATCACTCTTTGTCGTATACTCAGCTTCCTTTCATTACAGCTTCTGAATAAACATGAAGCTTTTGGGTCCATCTTTGGTAAAGATGATTCAGGGAAACCTATTTCTCTTTTTCATAGAAGGAACATGCTCTATTTTTATAACATTTTAACTGTTCTGCTATTGATGGACATTTAGGTTCATTCTTCTATTTTTGCTGCCGCATTTCATCATTATAAAATGAACTTTGAAATATTTTAACCTTGCTGAAACTGAGATGTGTTTAAATATAGGTGGCATCTAACAAATGCCATTTTTTTTTAAATCGGAAACCCAGTCCTCCATCTCAAGTCGTCTCTGACCCCTTCTCTGCTTTGCTTTTCCATGTCGCACTTTCACCAGGCGCCATATTGTTCATTGTCTTTCATCCCTCACCAGATGACAGGGATCTTTTTTAGCTTGTTTTACCACTCCTGGATCCTAGAATACACCTGGCACGAAGTGAGTACTCAGCATATTTACCGGATGAATGGATGAATGAAGGGAACTTTTGAGTGTTTACTGTGGTCCAGACACTGTGCTAAGCCCTTTCTGCCCTTGAATCACTTAATCCTTGTAATAACCAGGTCATCAGGGACTCTAACGAGGAAACTAGGGCAAAGGAGGAGGTTAATTTGCCCAATATCACTCAGCTTGTAAATGGAGAGTTGAAATTAGAGCTTGAACCTGCCCCATGCTAAATCCTCAGCTCTTAACTTCAAAGTTACATTTTTCTCAGCAACAAATTGTAGGATTTATTTAGTTCGTTCTTTCTTTTTAAACAGGAAGAAGAGAATTTATCCAAAGATTAAAACTTGAAGCAACCCTGAATGTGCATGATGGCTGTGTAAGTAATAGTTAATTTTCAACCACGAAGGACTTTAAAAACTGTTCAAATGTTTGATGAAATGCCCCAGTCCTCCCTGAAAAGATCGCAACTAACCGTAACAAATTGGGAGAATAAAACATTAAAACATTAAAGTAATTTTGAATTTCGAAAAATAATGTGAGATGTTTTTAAAGTGCAGATGGTTCATGTTATTCTGTCTTGACTGAAAGTGGAAGTCTCATTCTTTTTTGAAAATTTAGAAACAGTTTACATACCATAAAATTCACCCATTTTAACTGTGCAGTTCAGTGGTTTGTTAATATATTCATAACACGCAGCTGTCACCATTATCTACTTCCAATATGTTTGCAGCATCCAAAAAAGGAAGTTCGTACCCTTTATCCGTCACTTCCACTCCCTCTCCACCTGGCCGTTGTCCGGCACTGGTCTCCTTTCTGTCTCTATATATATGCCTCTTCCGGACGTCTCGTAAAAGCGGAATCATATGCTGTGCAGCCTTCCAGCCTGGCTTCTTTCCCTTAGCATTAACGTTTTCAAGTTCATCCATGGCGCAGCCTCTGTTGAAAGATATCTGGGTTGCTTCCCCTTTGGCCGTTACGAATAATGAGACTTTCGTGTCCATATTTTTGTGTGACACGCTTTCTCTTCTCTTGCGTGTATGTCTTGTGGAATTACGGGGTCACAGGGTGACCGTTTCAGTCTTGTGGTTTTGCCGAACTTTTCCAGAGCTGCCCTGGTTTGCGTCCCCACTAGCGAAGTTGAGGGCTTCGGTTCTTGGCATCCTCCCAGCTCTTCATCCCGCCCCCCATCCCCCTGCTTTTTATTTAAAGTATTATAGCTCTCTGAATAGGTGTGAAGTAGTAATTCATCATGGTTTTAGTTTTCATGAAGATTTACACCTACATTACCTTCTAAGAGTTTCATAGTTTTGACTCTTACGTTTAGATATTCGATTATTCTCAGGTAATTTTTATATTCGGTGTGAAATACAGGTCTAAGTTCATTCTTTTGTTTGTGTATATTCAGGCATCGGTTGAAAAGACTTCTTTCTTCATCGAATGGTCTTGGACCCGTTGTCAAAAATTGCTTAACCATAAATGGAAGGGTTTATTCCTGGACTCTCGGTTTCATTCCATTGATGCATGTGTCTGATCACGATAGTACCAAATATTCTCGATGACTGTAACTTCGTAATAAGTTTTCCTAATTCCTTTTCCGGTGACCTGGTTTTATGTCACTGGATATAAAATGATTTAACTAAAATAAACTAATAAAACTTAAGAAAGACATTTCACTGGAAATTTTCAGAAAGTTGTGTTTACTAAATGGTAGTCAGTGTGTATTTTGAGTAAACTGATAAATACTATTTTCATAGACAACTTCATTAGTGATATAAATTTTGAATTATTGGTTATGTAAAAAATGGCGTACTTGTTTTTATGTTCAGTTTGCTTAAATTTCTATTTTGCTTTCTTTTTAGGTTAATACAATCTGTTGGAATGAAACCGGAGAGTATATTTTATCTGGCTCAGATGATACCAAGTTAGTAATTAGTAATCCTTACAGCAGAAAGGTACGTTGTCTAAAGAATATGTATGTGTAAAAAATCTGTAATGAGAGAAAAAATTAAGAAACTAGAAATCAAGAAATTGTAAATAATCGTGGAACGGGCATTCGTTATAGAATATTTTTATTTTGCTAAAGTTTATTATATGACCTGAAATTTATTCTTGGCAGGTCCCTGATTTCCTTAGGAAAACATCAGCTGTCATCCAGCCTTTAACTCTAGAATATTTAAGCACGCTTCATTTTATCTAAGTGGGTAAAATTGCTCAAAGTGACGTCTCAATAAACCATTCTTTGGGGAGGAAAAAGATGATGGGATTTTTTTTTTTTTTTCTTTTACGCTCACAGAATCTAATCTTCAGCAGGCAGTTTCAGAAACTGAGTTTTATCAGTTTGCAGATGGGCTGGGTTCTGGTGACCGGCTGCGTGACACTCAATTCAGTACACTGGGGCTGCAGTCCACGTCATAATTAGGACTGTGTTCTGGTTTTGATTGGCTCCTTCTGACTTCGTATACAGAAGAAGTATGCAGCTATTCTTACATCAGTGAGAACATGGTAGATGGGGCAGTCTTATTTAATATTAACCATCTTCCAGGACAGATTGTTCATGTTTTTCTTATTTTTCTACAGTTAAGATATTTAAATAAATGTTTGTGGTCCTTCAGCCTAAAATAGGTTCATATCGAGCCTGTCTTTTATTAAAAGACAGGTCATAATTTTATTTCAGAGATAGCTTTCCTTAATTGTCCAGACTTAGCAGACGGAAACTTGATGCTTTCAAATTCTCCTTCTCTCAGGTCTGTAAGTACCAGGACAACCTTTTCTTTTTTTCCCCAGTAGAGAAATTTCCTGAAATTACACATGTGCAGAATGCTTTTTGATCATCATTATCAGAATTTTAATGCTAATAATATACAAAGCACTCATCTAGGTACCAATGAAATTTTTTTAAAGATGCAGAACTTTACTCTTTTTTAAAAAATTGTAGTCAAATACACATAATGTAAAATTAACCATCTTAACCATTTTTAGGAATTCAGTTCAGTGACGTTACATACATTCACTTTATTGTGCCGCCGCCGCCCCTGTCCGTCCACAGAACTCTCTTCATCTGGCAGAGCTAGGACTCTGTCCCCATTAAACACCGAGTCCTGATTCTCCCCTCCCGCAGCCCCTGGCAACACCATCCCGCTTTCTGTCCCTGAATTTTTCCACACTAGTGCTGTCGGCCATGAGTTCCATGTTGACGAACATCGTATAAGTGTTTATATAGTGTTGTGACTGGCTAATTTCACTTAGCATACTGTCCTCAAGGCTCATCCTTATTGTAGTATGTGTCAGGATTTCCATCTCTCTAAAAGCTGAATAGTATTCCGTTGTGTGTATATTTATTCATCTATCAGTGGACACTTGGGTTACTTCTGCTTTTACACTATTGTGAATAACGTTGCTATGAATATAAGTGTACAGATATCTTTCCAAATCCCTGATTTCAATTCATCTGTAAAAATGCCCAGTGGCATAATTTTAAAAGATTGTATTTCTCTTCTATTTGCTAATTTTTTTTAAAATGGCATTTGCTTTGGACCAATCATCCCACTGAAAAAAGCTTGATTAAATACTTTTTTAAATTGTCCCAAAAAAGTAACAAACAACTGCCTCGATAGTAAGGAATTATCAATCCAAAATGACACTCAACCTTCTTCACATCTCAGAGGGGAAAAAAAGAAAATATGTGTGACTCTGATTTTTTTCTAATGATAATAGTTTGGAATCAAATGATAATTTTTCGTTGAGATGAGAATGTTAATGAGAATTTATTCCTGGCTTTGATTATATTAAATATGGTTGTTTCTTTCTAGGAAATAATAAATGACCAAGAACTGCTTTCTCTGTGTGATTTAGGTTTTGACAACAATTCGTTCAGGGCACCGAGCAAACATATTTAGTGCAAAGTTCTTACCATGCACTAATGATAAGCAGATTGTATCCTGCTCTGGAGACGGAGTGATATTTTATACCAACGTTGAGCAGGATGCAGAAACCAACAGACAGTGCCAATTTACATGCCATTATGGAACTACCTACGAGGTACAGTATTGTCGTGATTGCATATAATATATAATGTGGATATGTTTTGTGTAAGTGTATGTGTGTGTAGATGTATGTTCACACATATGTGTATATTATGTATACTCACATTCATGCATATGTAGGCAGAGAAATTTGAGGAAATGGATCTCGATAAGCTCACAGATAAAGTTTAAGAAATAAGATGTGAGCTGTGGTAATAGGGTTTGTAATTGCTTGAGCAGCCATACTCTCAGCAAACAGATGTCCGCCTTTGAAGATGCTTCTGTTATTGTGTCTCAGAGCTCTCTATTGGGCTTTAACCTCTTAAACACTTTATCACCGTCTTGCATAAAGTCATCACCGTTCTATTGGTCTGTGTGTCTGTCTTTATGCCAGTACCATAACGTATTAAACGCAGTAGTTTTGTAATATGCTTTGAAATCAGCAAGTGCGAGGCCTCAGCTTTGTTTTTCTTTCTCCACATTGTTTTGGTATTTTGTGTCCTTTGAGATTCCGTATGAATTTTTAAATGTTTTTTTTTCCCCTGTAAATGAGGCCATTGGGATTTTGATAGAAATCGCATTATATCTAGATCGCCTTGGATAATATGGACATTTTAACAATATTAAGTCTTCCATTCTGTGAACACAGGATGTCTTTTCATTTCGTTTGTATCTTCTTTAGTTCTTTGAGAAATGTTTTGTTTGTGTACAAGCCTTTCACCTCAAGGAATAAATTTATTCCTTGGTGTTTTACTCTTTTTGATACCACTGTAATGCGGTGGTTTTCTCAATTTCCCTTTCAGAGTGTTTATTGTTAGCATGTAGAAACGCAGGTGATTTTTATGTTGATTTTGTAACCTGCAACATTGCCGTATTCATTTATTAGTTCTAATTGGGTTTTTTGTATGTGTGGAATCTTGAGTTTTCTACACATAAGATCATGTCGTCTTCAATAGAGATAATTTTACTTATTCCTTTCTAATTTTAATGCCTTTTATTTTTTTCTTGTCTGGTTGCTTGAGCTAGAACCATATTGGATAAGAGTGATGAGAATGGGCGTTTGTGCCTTGTTCCTGACCTTCGAGGAGAAAGTTCCAGTTTTTCACCATTGACTGTGGTGTTAGCTGTGAGCGGTCATCTTAAATGCTTTTTTGAGAGGTCATCTTAAATGCTCACATCAATTCAGCATCTTGCAATTCTCATAAACATTATCAGAGAACATTTTATAATGTATTTATAATACAAGTGTAAATTGACATCCAGAAAACAAAAATTAGGCTTTGAGTAGCTTAGACAAGTTTCCTAGGGGAGAATTTTTCTTGTCAAAGTTGTTAGAAGTTTAAAATCTTAAAGAACTTTATATCTGCAGGTCTATTAATTTCAAACCTCAAAGTAATGAGTCATATTAATTCAACAATTACTCTTTGCATATTTCTGTATGTATTGTACTGTTTTGAATCATGGTGTGAGAAAGTCGTAAATACTTAAAAGAAATGGTTCTTAGTTGCTTTTGCTTTAAGCATTTTATGGCTTTCCAAGCCATCTGTTTAAATGTGCAATGACATTAGCTGGACTTCTGTTTTCATCTTCAGATTATGACTGTACCCAATGACCCGTACACTTTCCTCTCTTGTGGTGAAGATGGGACTGTCAGGTGGTTTGATACACGCATCAAAACTAGCTGCACAAAAGAAGACTGCAAAGATGTAAGACTCAAATTTTTGTACAAATGATGCAAAAAATTTAAGATTATACTTAAAACTGGACAGTAAGTTATCTCTGGGTTGTGAGATTATGGGTAAATTAAAAAATTTTGTTTCCCTAAAATCTTCAATAAACATATATTTCATAGTAAAAAATTTTAATTAAAATGCTAATAGTAAATTTAGGGAACTTGTATTTTAATTGTACTTTTCAAATATATTTATGGAAATGCATATAATTGTTCATATATGCCCTGTCATTATAAAGACCTGAAGCATTTATCACTGTATCCCATTTACTTATAGAGATAATGCGGGCTTACCAATAGCAGTGATAAAAGCACGGAGTAGACTAGTGTCTTTTTGTTTTTACCCTGACCTTTAAACCAAGAAATATATGTCATCTTTTAAAAAAAGTAATGATACCTTTTTTTGTATATGTTCATTCAGATTTAGCTCACTCTCTAAAGATAATTGTTTCACTATCAACTTTGTATTTTAGATACTGTTTTAAACTTGAAAAAGGCCTGAGAAATACAGATCCTAGACAACCCCAAATGTTATTTAGAGACAGTAGTTTTTTCTCAGATCATTTCGAAGTACTAAATAAAATAAGAAAGGATTGCTAGACATATTTTTACTGAAAGTTACTCACCCCCCTAAAAAAAATTATTAGTAATCAGGTTGAGTGCTTGCTAATTAAAGCAATTGCTATTGTTAGCATTCTTTGGGGGAGTGGGGAGATTATTTTCTATATTGAAACAGAGAAGAAAAAAATAGAAATTAAAAAAAGTTAAATCTATAGTTGTTAAGTTAGTTTTTATGTTATATGAGTACACACACACAAGTAGGAAAGCATTGAACTAAAAGGCAGCAGAAATGAGTAAAATATCAGACTGTTTATTAGGGACATTTGAGTATACCTGTTTCTTAGTAAATGGTAGGTACTAAAATTCGTTATGCCAAATTCTTTTAAACCGTGTTTTCGGTGTACAGTGTAGTAGGATTTAATTGTGCTTTTATAACCGAAAACCCCCTAAAAACAGAGATGAAAGCAAAGTTAATAAGTGAAAATACTGTTAAAACTTTCCTTAATAAAACTTTTGATTTCTTTATAAAAATGAAGAGGCAACGTATAAAGAACAACTGTTAACTAGAGCAATCCTTAACTACTAAAATCTTAGAATTATGGAAGACATTTGGTGAATGAATTCTATATAATAGGAATCATGATCCTTTAATTTAACATCATAGGAAAAATGTTAAATTACATGGAATAGGGATAGTTAAATAAGTAAAACTTAAGGCAAATGTAATTTAAAAACATGGCTGTACTGAGAAGCGTGAAGAGCTTAAGTCATAGACAAAATTATATAAAATTAACAAAATTCCTTAGGGATATGTATTTGGGGTGAGAGCTCTCACAGTTCCTAATGCTTATAAGTAGTGACATAGTAAAACCTTTTAATAGAGTTTGTATATATGGGTGTACTTGTTTTTGAACTGGTCAGGAGAAAGATTTTATAAGTTGAAAAAATATGAAAGTTTAGAATCAGCTAATAACATTTTTGTTGTATTTTATTATCAAGTTATATTTAAAATAGTATGAGTACCGTATAAAACAAACATTAGTACTCAGCAGAGACAAAGTTAGATTATACCTCCATCTTTACTGGCCAGTGGGCCAAAATTAGCAGGCCCTTCTAATGTAATTAGCGACTTAATGACACATTACATAGGTAACGGATGAGTTTTTTACATTTCTAAAGCTGTTCACTATTCATGAGTATCAGGATATTTAGGAGGCATTTCTGAGAAATAATTCAAGTCGTATTAGATTATTTGAAATGCAGTTTTGAATGAGTTTCCTGAATTATTACCAGCTTCTTGGAGCTGCTGTGTGGATCCAGTGTAATTGCTGCGTGTTTGAATCTTGTATCTGGGAGCCGTTTTCACTTTGTCTTCGTCATGACGTATTTTGTATCACTCAAATATCGGTTGTTTTTAAATTTTTACTTTAATTAAATCTAGTATTTCCTTTTTTTTTTTTTTTTTTGAATTTTGATTAGTTCATAAGGAAAGCATACAGTATTGTTTTAGAAGTCAGTTTTGGAGTTTATAGCAAATCGTAAAGAAAAACAAAATTTTCCTTAGAGCGATAAACTGCTGAGGAGGAATATTGACTGAGTGTACTTCTTTTGTGTGCACATGAGCTGCATGTGTTAGAAACGCTCAGTGATGTAAATCTTAAAAATAAAAATTAAAAAGCCATGTTGTTTTTCTCCCCTGTCGTCATCATACTGACTGAATTAGGATTTGAGAAAGGTAATTTTCTTCTAATTGAAGGGAAAATGTTTTAGATGTAGTATCGTCTCTACTGTAAAGCTCCGTGCAGCTGATGCTATTTTATCTTTCGTAGGATATTTTAATTAACTGCCGACGCGCTGCCACATCGGTAGCAATTTGCCCACCGATACCGTATTACCTGGCTGTGGGCTGCTCTGACAGCTCAGTGCGGATATACGATCGGAGGATGCTGGGCACCAGAGCCACGGGTAAAAGCTACGTAGTAGGGAAAATAGAAGAGTCTGTCCGTTCAAAGAGTAAATTTTTAGGACATTTGCCATTTTAAATTTTCATTAGTTTGTCATAAAATCAGTAAGCAGAATATATTTAAATAATATATATGGTAAAAATAGCATTTCGCCAAGATCTTATGACCCTATCAGGGTGATACTTTGGCAGTTTGTTACTTTAAAAAATTGTAACGCTTGATGTGCACTCGTCCCTCAGCGGGTGCAGGGCCCATTTCCAGGACCACCCTCGTGTCGCGGCCCCAAAGTGCGCTTTTCCTCCCGTGGGTGGCTGACTCTGCGGATCTGAAGCCCGCGGGTACGGAGGGCCAGCTGTCTTCGGTCCCTGGGGCTGTTGTAGCAAATGACCTGCCTGGCTTCAAACAGCAAACTCATTCTCTCGGGCTGCACACCAGCAATCCAGGTGTTGCAGGGTTGTTCACCTGGAGACTTCCGGCGAGTCTGTGGCATGCTTCTCCCCTCCTGCCTTCCGGTGGCCACTGGCAGTCCGGAGCATCCCTTGGCTTTTAGACGTGTCGCTCCGGTCTCTGCTCTGTGCGTGTCTGTGTCCGCATTCCTTGTGCGGGCATCCGTGCTGCGGGACTCAGGGCCACCCTCAGCCAGTCCGACCTCATTTTACTGATCGCATCTGCAAGGACCGGTTTCCAAATAAGGGGATATTCTGAGGTCCCGGGTGGACATAACTCTGCGGAGGCTCCTCCTTTCTCCGTGCAGTATTCGTAATGAAGAGGGTAACAGTGGTGGAGGAAGAGTTAAGAAATAACAGTGACTCGGGTATGTGCTAATGTGTAGCGCGCGTTTACGCTCAGCCAAGTTCAAATGCCGTCCGTGATGCTGCAGGGACCGACTTTGAATCCACCACCTTCAGCTCCTCTCCTCATCCACTGCGGGGTCCACCCACTTCCGAAATTCCCGGGTCAAAGTCAACTTCCACACCACAAGCTGCAAACATCACATGCATGTGCACATTTATATATATTTGTTGGATTAACTGTTATTAAAAATAAAAGCGAACTTGGCCAGAAACTAAGACAATGTCAATCTCATTTTCAGTTTATGTCCATTAAAAACGGACGCAGGCTCTTGGAGTGGGAGACCAGATGGGGTGTTTTTTATCGAGCTGCGTTTGAGGAGTCTTGTCTCTTTGGAGATGCACATTTAGGGCCAACAATATCAATATACTATGAAACTGTAGGCTTAATCATTGTTTCTCAACAGATGGGATGCAGTTGGCGTTCTGTGCAGGGCACGATCTCATTGTGCAGCTTGGCGTGATTCTTAGAATTTAGCGTTCCTGGGCTCCCCCACCCTGTGCACCCCTCCCTGTTGTAGTGCGTTGATGACTCCCCAAAGTAAATTAAAGTTGGAATAGTATCCCGACTCTTATTTTATAAGAGGAACATTTCACGACAGTCAGAATCTTTTAGAAACATAAAGTAAAAAATAATTTGCTTTAGAAAGAGACTGTACTGTTTTATCTAGTACACTAATAAGTATCAGCTTTCCTCTTTATATTATAAAATTACATTAATTTGAGGAGAATTCTTGGAAGGCGATTTGGTGTGACTATAATCATAAATTATTTAATCAATCAAATAACTCATATTTCCAGGAAAACATTTATATAATCTGGAATTCCAGACAGTCATGAATTTTTTTAAAGATGTTTTCTTTATACCATATTCTTATTTATTTTGTTACAAAATCTGGTTACCGAAAAAAGAGACTCTAGAAATAGAATACAATAGCTCGCATTTTCGCTGCTACATTAAATGACGTATCTCATAATTCAGATTAAGAGTTTTTAAAATATTTTTCTTCAAAAAACATAAATTTCAAACAACTTTCTATTTTCTTATTTAGGGAATTATGCAGGTCGAGGAACTACTGGAATGGTTGCCCGTTTTATCCCGTCCCATCTTAATAATAAGTCCTGCCGGGTGACATCTCTGTGTTACAGCGAAGATGGTCAAGAGATCCTGGTTAGTTACTCTTCGGATTACATATATCTTTTTGATCCAAAAGATGACACAGCACGAGAACTTAGAACTCCTTCTGCAGAAGAGAGGAGAGAAGAGGTAAGTTTACTCTAAACCGTGTTCTCTATTCAATTCAGAAAACATTAATTCAGTGACTCCGGGGTCCTGAAAGGCTTCAGAAAATAGAGTTAATTTTCAAGGCATTTATGGTCTAGAAAACAAGGACATGAAATGTGCATGAAAGAACAGGGGCTAATAAATAATGACGGAGAAGGTGCTAGAAAAAAAGTATTGTGGAATATTTTTAAAGAAAATATTTAATTTAATAGCAGAATGTTTCTCTAACTTGTACAGTTGCAGAAAAGGCCATTAAAATGATAAAAAATGTGATGTACAGACTTGCAGGAGACTCAATGTTATGTCTGTGCACCAGTGGGACTTTTACATTCACTGTCCGTGTGTGGACAGCAGCCCCTCCTCTCCCGAAGCCACCTCTCTTTCACAGGGTGAGCGTGTGTCTCTCACCCCAAGGACATCTCAGGGAGTACGGATGAGGGAGTGAGAAAAGGGTACTGTAAAGCTAGCGTACACACACACACACACACACACACACGCACGCGCGCGCGCACACACACACACACACACACACACACACACGGAATCGGCATCACCATTTTCTTATTTATAAAAGGCAAAAACCAGAAATGATGTAGCCTTGACAGTCCACAGCAGTAGAAAAACATTTGCTTTAACCTGTTAAGCTTCTTTCCATGACGTGTTTTTCACTTTGGCTTTTTTATTTTATAATGCCCTATGTCGATCAGGCTGCTCTTTGCCTTTTGAAATGAACCATTGCTTTTTATTAACTGTCAGTGACTTTTTGTATCGGCTCATCTCCCATTCCTGAGCGCATTTTAAAGGTCCTAAAGAACAACCACGATTTTGTAATTCCTATGAGATGCTAAACAACATTCAGTTCTTAAAATTGTAGGTTCAGAGGGCTATGAAATGAGAGAGAAAAAATCAGTATTACTTTATATGCTGGGATTTTAAATGTGGCCGTGTATTTAAGATGGCCGTGTATATAAGATGGCTCATGAGAGCTAAGACTGAAAACGTGAACTCTGCTTGTCGTCGTTGCTATGTAAATTCCTCTTGAAATATAGGCTTCAATAAAGTTGTAGTCAAACTTTGTGACTGTTACATAATGAAAGTTAGAAATGCAGAAACATTTTAAGTGGGCCAGCTAGCTTTTGTAGCATAGAATACTTAGCCAAAAGATGTTTATATAATCAGTGAATGAGGCTGAGTCATGAACAGTTGGTTTTAGCTTTTTTCTGAATGTGTTTTTCTTAGTATCCTTTGTTGAATTAACTAAAATAAAAATGATTTTAAAAATGGATTAAAGTTATAAAAATAAGCCATTATTTTTAATATAATATTAAATTAAAATTTTATTATAATAAGCTTATTATAATAAACCAAATAATCCAGAGGTGTATCTAGAAGAGGAATTAGTTATGTCTCCCTCTTTATCCCACTATCTTTCCTTTGGTGTTTTATGCTAAATCCTCGTCAGTAATGTTCAGTCAAAAACTTATCTCAACTCATCAAATATTTATTGGGTGCCTACTATGCACTAAGTCTTGTACTAAACTTTAGAAAATCAAGGATGATTGTGACAAAGACATGTCCTCACACTCAGGAATTTACAGTTTGGCGGAAGTAGAGATATAAATAAGTAAATATGTGAAACTTAAAAGTGATAGAATTATACATAAGAATTATGTTCTATATAAGTAGACCAAAAGAGAGAATAATCAAATTTGATTGGGAACGTAAAACAAGCTTGAGCAGGGTTTTAAAATATGAATAAATTTTAATGTATGATTTTTAATTTCGTTTCCATTCTCTTCCTGATTTGTAGAGACCTCATTCAATTTCGTGTCCTCTAAAAATTTCTTTCATTTTTCCCTTTGAAATTTTCCACTCGTTCCACCTTATTATCAGAGTGCTTTGTTGGATACCGTCTCTTTTTCTCTGGCTCCCGTAGTTCATCCCCAAAATATACATCCCACATCTGCGGTACCACCCACCACTGTACCATGGGCCCCCTGATCAAAGGCGTCAGCATCTCTCCTGGACCACACTGGTGGCTCCCTGACCGCTCCCTGCCTCCCCCTACAGTCCTGCAGCCACACAGCAGCCAAGGCCGTCCTTTACTGACCAGCATGCCAAGTGGCTCCCCACTTCACTCAGGGCCACACGAAGGTCCCTGTAGTGGCTGCAGGAACTTACATCGTCTGGGTCTCGTGCTCCCACTGCCCTCCTGTGTCTTCTCTGTGTTTCTATATCTCCTTGCTTGCTCAGGCAGGCAAGCAGGCTTCTCTGGGAGCTGTTTCTTCAGCATCTTGCCCGTTTTGACCTAGCACCTCATTCGCATACTCTGTAAAGGAAGCAGGTTGGTGGAAAGACTCCGTTAGACTGAAAGCGAGTTTTCTCCTCACCTTTTAGTTACGACAGCCTCCAGTGAAGCGTTTGAGACTTCGTGGCGACTGGTCAGATACTGGACCCCGAGCAAGGCCTGAGAGTGAGCGAGAACGAGATGGTAACTCTGCTTTGGTCAGCTTTTCTTTCTTAATGTGGTATTTAAAAATTAATGTTTTAATTCGTTTCCGGTGTTTTCGCTAGTATGAATGATGCTGCAGTAAATATCCCCATACATCTATCTTAGCATATTCCTGCAAGCGTATCTGAGGATAGATGTCCGAGAGGCGAACGGCTGGGTCACTGGACCAGTGCATTTTAATTGTAATGTGATCAAATGACCCTCCCAAAAAGCGCTGCTTTACATTCCCACTGAAAATGTAAGAATGCTCGCCGCTCCGTAAAACACGGGGCGTTATCAAACTTCTGAGTTTTTGCCTTTCTATTAGCTATAAATAGAATGAAAACTCTCATCTTCCAACTGGAGAGTTTTATAACAGCACAAATTTTTTTTTCCTTCTGTCAGGTTTCTTGAGAAGCATTAGGAACTACCTTGGGAGCTTTAAGATGGCACACTTTAAAATAGAATTAATCCTTGTGTATTTTAATAAATGAGTGTGTAGCCAAAATCTTATTCTAATGGCTTCTGAAATCTTTTAAGATCAAAAGCATATTTCCCAATATATTATCTTTGGTATTATTTTGCAACATACATTTAAATATAAAGCTACGTTATATAAAGGCGATAGAGTATACAATAAATTCTGTTTTCACAGGTCAAGAACAAATGATTTCCATTTTTAATTATATAATTATAGAATAGAATTGTCACAGTTTTAATTTGATGTCATACTTAATTTGAAAATACTCTTAAGGGAAAATTCATGTATTTGAAGGAGGAAAAAGGAAGAGGGAAGAGAAAAAACACTTTCTGGTTTCAGATAATTTCATACATGTGGACTCTGCTTGCAGTAAAGGATGACAAAAACAAATTCAGTTTAAGAACGTTTGAGAGGGCAAACCTTCCTTTTAATCTGCTCAACGTGCAATACCCGGCCCTCTGTGCATTCTTGGAACTACAGATGTGGGTTGGGGTAGTGGCGGGAGGTGCGTTGGTACCTGAGAATAAGCCAAGATGTAGGAGACGTAAGTCCTGTTCTTGGGGAGCTCAAAATCCAGATGGAGCGTCACTCGTTTAAACGTCTACTATGAGATGTGACAACAGCTCTAGTCGATTTCTATACATTCATAGAATTTTTTGGCAATTTGAATTTTTTTAATTGCTTTCATTCTCAAGACCCCTCAGATCTAGGTTTTCGCATCAATGAAAGACTCTAACTCTTATTAAGTTCACTGATAAGACTCGTGTCGCCGTAGGAGAGCAAAGTCCCAATGTGTCCTTGATGCAGAGAATGTCTGACATGTTATCAAGGTGGTTCGAAGAAGCGAGCGAGGTCGCACAGAGCACTAGAGGGCGAGGAAGGCCTCGGCCCAGAGGTAATGTTCCTTGTTAATTACAGTCCTCAGAAAGCTGTCAGAAACTATGTACCGAAGTTGGGTTTATTTATGTCATCTCACTGATGCCGCGTTTTATATCTACAGTGAGGGTCTTGCTGTCGTGGGAAGCAGTGGAGGATAAAGGGTATTGGCTATAATATGTGCCTTCAGGTTCCACTAGTTCTAGCCCTTATTTTTTGCTTTTCTTAAAAAAAGTAAGAGCATCTGATATTCCCCATTTAAAGTCCTTTTCGTATATTCTCTGTGAGTAGAAATATATAAAACTCAGTAGGTAAATAAGTTGCATGTGATTGAAGTTTCTCCTTTGGGTTACTTATATACATTGCTTGTTAATTACTGTTTCTGTTGTTAGCTGACGTGTTATCATATTTGTTTACTACTTTCCAGTTTTGTGGGTTTTGGCAAGTTACCTATTCTCGGTCCAAAATGAGGCATATAAAAGTTAACTTCTAAATGTTTTAAATCTCCAAAGAAAAAGTTTCTGTTGAATTTCATCCATAAATGTTTCTTATTATCTCCTGCATATCAGTTAACTTTTTCAAAAACTTTCTGGACTGTGGCTTTGCTTAAGAGTAATTAAATTTGTATTTAAATTTAAACTAAGAAATAAATAAATCATGGTGATTAAGAAACTATTCTGTGGTAGTTGTGTCTTGCAAGGCATGAACTTGGTTTGTCTGCTCCATTTTTAATAAAATCTAAATTTGAAGCAAAATCAGAAAATTTTAATGTTTATTGAGTATTAATCATTCCTTTACAGATAGCAGAAAGCCTAGCATAGCGCATAGCAGACATTCAGGCCTTTTAAAATCATAACTACCTTGTGTTAGTTTAGTGGTTAAAACATCACTGCTATGAAACGAGAATCAGGAACTTAACCCTATTTTGGCCTCTTCGTGGTTTTACTCTTGCTAATGCAGTTTTTATTAGGTATTGTACGAAGAACACGATGTTCTAGGGTGGCACTGTATCGACATAAACCCGTTACCCTATTATCCAGCTATTACATCAGAACCATCATCTCTAAACTTAAGGGACGAGACGTTGTTTATCGGCATCACTTATGCTGTTATTTAGCTTCGTCTGAGCGAAGCTGCCACGTTGAGCATTTTGCTGAAAAGATCATTTTAACGAGAATGTGCTGTAGATGGATCTTTACCCCTCTCAATGAGCCAAATGGACCAAACCACCAGTGGGCGCTTTTGATTTCCTATATATTCTATGTTTCTGAGTGTGTGTGTGTGTGAGTGAGCACGTGTGCACACTCAAGTGCGCCTGTATGTCCCGCACACACCTCTTCTGAGTAGTCGGTTTCGGAAAGCATCTAGTGTTTGAACTTGCGTTCACATGGACTCTTTGAAGGTGGGGCGAGTCAGCCAGAAGCTTCGACCCTCCCTGTGGTCCCGCCGGGCGCTGACTCGGAAGCGGCGGAGAGCGCCATGGAAGTGGACGCTGCAGCCGAGCAGTTCCCGCAGCCTTCTGCGTCCTCTGCGGCGTCCGCTCAGGCCCACTCGCCGGCGTCTTCTGCAGAGAGCCCGCCGCCCCCTCTACTGTCTTCTCCAGACAGTGAACCAAGGCCGTCCGTCGAGGCGTCTGGCCAGCACACGCACCATCAGTCTGGTGAGGATGTCACTCTTTACCTAGGCTGTGGGTCATCTGATGGTTTCTGATCGTGAGAACTTCCTTCTGGGCCGTTCGGAAAGATGCTAAATCACATGTTCCCGCTGGAGTGAATGGCCCCGATGACATGTAGTATGTGAACGTGTGACCCAAGCACGAGGTTCTAGTGTGCCTGACTCGCATGAGTTGTAACAAGTAGCAGGAATCTTCCATTTACGTGAGACAGTTTTTTTTAAAACGTAGCTACCGACAGATAGTGTTTTGATGTAGTTTAAGCACTCGATGTAGCGATTACTTTTATAGGCTGTTTTTAGACGAAATATCTTTCTAAACTTATTTGGTTGCTAGTCTGTGTTAAAGTAATGGTGAAATATATCCTTAATTATTATTGTCCCATTGTATTTATATTTTTGATTATTTTTCCTAAAACCATGAAACACTTCTAATACATTCTCTGTGGTGCATTTGATATGGTCTCTTGTCAACAACATGCAGTTTATCGAAAGAATTATTTCTCTTATATTTATGGGAAAAAGAATTGTTTTAGCAAATCTTACTCCTCTTGGAACTTGATATTAGTGAAAAAAATTAACTCCCAAATTCTGTTAAAGTACTATTTTCCCTGGTATTATAACTCCTCATGTTCAACTTTTTCCCCTTAAACTATGGATTGTACTAGTATTTATAACAGTAATTTTCAGCAGATAATGTCTAGTTTACTTGACATTTTAATTGTATACATGTAATTATAATAACCAGTAAGATATTTATTCATATTTTCCTTTGGATTCTTCTAAAGAAGCATTTTACTTGACATATAACCAAAAATATTAGCAACTAGAGATACAGCTGGCAGGCCTAAGCTAAAACCTATAAAAATTTCCTAACAGCTTAACTGCCAAGCTGTCACTTTGTTCTTGCTTCTCTGGAATCTGATACTAGATCACCAAATACGGTTTTAAATTAAGCTTTAAATTAAGCACTCTTTTATCGGTATAGCCCGTTTTTGGTAATTCATTTTCAGTTTCTATGGGAATAGAAGCCAGAATCAGTTACATAACGGTTAACGCTGGTGTATAGTTGACCTTTTAACTTGTGGGAAGTTGGGACAGAATCGGTTAAAAGTTGACTTTTCAAAGCAGGTGCAATTGGTAAAAACAAGAACTTTTGAAGTAATAGCGTTCTTGGAAACGTTCTTTAAGATTTCGATCAATTATGATATCAGGAAAACTTAGCAAGAATTCTCCCGAGCTCATGTTCGCACGTCCACTCATCGTAACTTCTTCCATTCATGTCTTAAACACATTCTGAGTAGATTACTTAGTTGAGTTTCATTTTTTTTGTTATAGATGTTTAACACATTTTGATACTACATTTCAAATTGCTAAATATCTTTCAAATTTAATGTAAGTATTAAATACTGTAGTCGTTTGAATCAGTGAAATTCAAAAATTTGTGATGATCACGTATGTGGTCATTGAACATTACTTGGCACTTTTGCCCATAAATTTTTTTCAAGAAAGTACGGAAATATCTTTAACTGGTAGGTTATTAAAAGAAACTTGATCATTTTGATAACATGGAAAATTGGAATATTTCCATGTCACTACGATCATATTTCTTTTTTTGGCCTTGTATTTTCCCAGAGCCCAGCGTTTTAAGAGGCACTTAATCTTTTGCTTCCCAGTCCCTTACGCACGTCTGCGCCCAGACGGTTTGTGATGGTGGCACTGTCCGTGCGTCCTTAGAGCCATGATTTCTGTTACTGCCTTGCACAGAGGTGGAGGAAAGGAAGAGTACTTCCTGCCATGCGGTGGACGCCTCTTTATGTACCTGTCCCTGCCTCTCCTCCATGCCCCTTGCGTTTCCTTCGTCACGTTTGCTGGGGTGGAGGAAGGGATGTTGGGAACGTGAAGACTTGCATCTCTGATTGAACCTAATTACTTGCCTTCTCTCGTCTGCGCCGAGTCCTGAATGAGTGAAGGCAGTCACAGCCACATACTTCAGTGGGTGCCGGACACCGTGTCCGAGCGGTCTTCACCACTGTCACTCAGCAGCGAGACGAAATGTCTGCGTCCCACTCTTCCGCCCCTCCCAGCCCCCAGCCTTACGATAACCTTCTCTCGTCCACAGTGGGGACGAAAAAGCACCGACTTTTCTACTTTTGAATCTCCCAGCTTCCCGGCACCTGTGCTGCCATCGTCTGCGGCGGAGGCGACGCGTTTTAGGAAGAAGTGTGTCCGCTCCTGCCCAGGCTAGCCATGCCCTCCCGTCCCTTCCAGCTTCGCAGAGGCTCCTGCCCAAGGCTAGCCGTCCCCTCCCGTCCCTTCCAGCTTTGCAGAGGCTCCCGCCCAGGCTAGCCGTGCCCTCCCGTCCCTTCCAGCTTCGCAGAGGCTTCGCTCCTGCTCCTGTGTCGCCGTCATTGCCTTCCCTACCGAACTGTTCCTTTCGGCCTCAGATGAGCTCCAGGTCCCTTCTGCCTCGCAGTCCCCTTTCCCACTGGAACTTCCTGTCAGGCTCCAGCGGCTTCCACTGTGCCCGGTCTAAAGCGGACGCCTCTGCCAGTGTCCTCCTCGATTTCTTGACCCAGCGCGTTTAACGCCGTCGCTTCTTTCTTGCGGCGCTTTCCTTTCTCGGCGTCTCGGCCGCTTTGCCCGTGAGCTCTAACTGCCGCCTCCAGCTGGGTGTCGGTCACTGGCGTCGGCGTTTCTCGTTCTGGTCACTTCTGAGTATTTTAGTGGAACCCTGTAGCCCGCTCTCCTCTCTGTAAACCCTCTGTCCCCGAGTGATCGTGTCACTCTGTGGACCTCTTCAGTTTCACCTGGCCAGACTCAGACTTAACTTGGCCTCCTGTCCGTCCCGTCTCGTAATCTCTTCCCTCTCGGTCATCTCATAGCTTAGGAAGGTCTTCTGCCACTGCCCCTTCGCTCATTTCAGCAGCCCGTGAGTCATTCATGCTTCTTCACTTTTCCTCACGTTCCAGGCCCCATCCGTGAGTAGGTCCTGTTGGCTCTACGCTCCGTCTTGCTGTCTTTCTTGTCCGCTCGTTGATCTCCCCGTTATTACTATTACTCTCCAGGCCGCAGCCGTGTATTTTCAAGTATTTAAAAAATCTTAAATCGGGTCCTGTCACTTTGCTGTTTAAAACGCCTCCGAGACTTCTAACTGCCTTTGGAACCACAACTGCAAAGGAAAAGAAAAGCACGGTCCACGCTGTGGCCCGTGAGTGCCGCCTGGCCCTCGCCCCTCGGTCCCCGACGTCACCATGCTCCAACCGTTCCCCTGGCGTGCCACCTTCTCCTTCCTTTCCCTGACCCTGAGCCTTTGTGCGTGCCCTTCTCCGTGCCTGAGAAGCTCTCCTCCCGCTCATCGTGGAGCTGACGCCTTTTTTCTTGGGTCTCAGCTGAAAGGTCACCCAGGGAGGTCATCCATAACTGCCCTAGCGCGATTCATCTTTTCCTACCCTCCCTGAAATTTTTTTCTTTTATGTAGCCTCGTTTATTTCTTAAAAGGTACTTATACATTTTTGTAATTATTCAGTTCATTTTCGACTGACTTGTTTTCTCTCTCTAGAGTATACTCCTAAAGACAGAGGCATTATCTTTCTTACTCCGCATAAGCCTTTTCCCCCCCAAAATAGTCACTACCTCTAAAGTTGCAGTTAAGACTATTATCTTTAAGCTAGGATATACATTTAGCTGTATTTTAGTTTTTATAGTTTTAGCCCACTTCATTCATTCCAGATGTTTCCAGTAGGCCCCCCAGATGAGATGTTATCTAGAGAAAAGGTCATAAGTGGGTATCCAGCCGCTTATCAAGTTCAGGTTCATTGTTCACCCGTGGCTGTCCAGATCATATAAGACTGAGTACACGCTTTTTCCTACTTTGTTCAAAAATATTTTGAGGTAACTTACAGAAATACTTTTTAAAAATCATTTTTATAAATGAGGAAATTAGGACAAACAAGTACGAGTAGGAAAAAAATGAAATGAAGCTACGAGTGAGGCGAACATAACGAACACAACACCTGAAGAACGGTGCGGCTGGACGGCCGAGGGGACCTTGGGTCTTGTGGCTGAATCAGGAGATAGATACATGCAAATGGAATCCGAAGCAGCGGGTGGATCTTTTTGGTCTTTTGACTTCTTTACCCTTTGTATTCTTGACTTTTATCTTAATTCATGTAGTCGGACCATTTGAAACCGTATTCTGTATACATCACCCAGAATTTAATCAGATGTTTTGATTCTTATACATGGTCTTTTCTTAGCTATTCAACAAAAGACTGTGGTTATAGGATTATCTAGTTAAAAACCAGAAGGGTATGAGTACGAACCGAAACTATATAGGTTAAAATGAAATCTTCGCAATTTTATTTTCAAAAAGCATTTCAAAGTACTTTTCTCGGTAACCCCTATCACACATCACCTTCTGTCGTTTCTAAACTGAGCCCGGAAGTGTCGTCATCTCATGTGTTGTTTGTAGTTTTTTCCCCACGGCGATGAGAGTGTTAGATGAGGCTGTCATTCCAGCAGGTGCCGGCTTTTTTCTCCTTTGGTTTCATTTTAATCAAAATCAAAGAATACGATTAGAAGAGGTGTTTTTTTGGAAATGAAGCGGGTATCAGTGCATACAAAATTCAGTTTTGGGGGCTCGCCTTGGGAAGTGAGTCGCCTAAAAGACCCTGCTTCTAACGAAAAGGACCACTCAGACCGTGAGGATCATTAAGATACTATATGATATTATGGTAATATCACATGGTTACTTCTTTGAAGTGTTGACTTCTGCTTATTTACAAATAACTGCTCGGACTTAAAATTTATTTAGGTCTCTTCAGAACCTTTATAGCTGAGCTGAGCTCTGTAGAAAAGTTGCTGGGGTGATAAGAACTCTGCGTTGTAGCGTATCAAAGCAAACCCTTCAGGGCTCAGATACCCAGTGTACAGTTTCCTAGAGGGGGTCAGCGTCTGCTGAGACTAGGCACAGCCATTTGTAGATTA